AAGGCGAGCACCTCGTGGGCGATGAGACTTGTTTGGTTCTTTGATCGAAGTGGCAGGCCCATCAAATAGCCCGTTTCCGAGCACACTGCAATCAGCCAAAGTGCTCCTCCTTCGTCCGGCGCGCCAATCTGGGCTTGGTCACCCTCCTCCGGTGCTCCAAGCGGCCCGATTCCCCGCGCATTCGTGTAGGAAAAGTCGAATGACACTACGGGTCCTGACTCCCGAGCTTTCCCAGTGCGCCTGTGGGGATCTGGTCGTCCTCGATGCTTAATGCAGGCTGAACACCAAGGTGCGTACGGGACGTGGGTGAGAGCATGCTTTCTCTTTTCTTCCTCGCCTGGCTCCTTTGCAAATGCTTGCTCTCGTGGCTCTCGACCTTGTAGTTCTTGGGCGCGACGAGCGAGGTCCCGAGCTTGTAGGAGTTCCAGACGGGCCTGATGTTCAACCAGACGGCCAAAACACTTGCGCTTGCTTCCTGACTGCCCCACTTGATAGAAAGCACATGCAGCTCGAAGTGTGCGCAAAGGGCTGTCCAGAGAAAGCTCCACCCCATTGACTTGGATTCTGTCTGGGATGGCCACTCCAACTTCGAACCTCGCCTGTTGGTCCCAAGATCAACTCCTCCAGGACCTACAGGCCCTTCAATTTCTCGTCCCTCAATCGCCTCAAACTCACCCTCATCATCGGCTATCGGGATGGCATAGTCGTCCTCATCTGTTCTTCTCCTCCTTGAGGCCTCATAGTCAAACCCTTCGACCTCAAAGCCAAGATCCTCTGGTGCTTGGGATGTTGTGGAATGTGCAACAAAGGTGATGATCTTTGCCATGTACTCACCTCTCAACTCCTCGATCTCTTCCTCCTGGTCTTCCAGCCCATCCACCGGCTCACTCATCTCCACGAGCTGCCACTGGTCACCTTTCTTGACCACCGTCTCATCCCTTCTTTTTGATGTTTCATGTCAGGGATGAACTGGGGACTCTGGAAGTGCTGTCCACGATGCACGCCAATCCATCTCTCCCCATGGCGCTTCCATCCCAACTGATCCATCTCAATCTTCTTCAGGCCTTCTCCCAAAGTGACCTTCAAGGCCCTCACGAAGCTCGCCAAGGCCACATTCCTGATCTGTCCTTGTACGACCAGTGGTTCTGCAGGTCAATAGGCACCTTCACCTCTCCATTGACCAAACACCTCTCTTCTCCAGCGATTGACCATCCTGACCGAAGAAGATGGCCAAAAGAAAGGATAGGTTGGGACACCACGTCACTGAATGTCACCCTTTCCTTCAACACCACCAGCCTGTCGTCCTCCGCCTTCAGCTCAATGTCGATGTCTCTGTGCCCGTAGGTTCTGATTGCCCTTCCCTGAGCATCCTGGAGATACGGCGACATTCCACGAGCTTTCCGGCCTTGCTTCAACATGTGACCTGGGAAGATCGAAGCATCTGCTCCTGAATCGATGATGATCGTTGCCATCACTCCATCACCATCGCCGGTTGGGTCATCATCCACCTGGTACTCCTCCTCAGGTGGTACCTCATAGATGGCATTCACGCACCTTCATAGTCCTCCTCATCGTCTGTTGCGATGTTGTAGAACTCAACTGCTGCTCTCTTCCTAGGCTCCTCAACCTCTCGCAGCACTCGAATTGACCCACTATTCTCCTCATAGCTCCTCAAATCGAAGATCAGGGGTTGTGAAACTCGTCTCGCCGCCTTGAGCGTGGTCTCGCTTCCTGGCTGGATCGACGTCGTAGTGCTTGGTGAGACTGTAGGTGGGCTTGATGGGGCATTTGATGCTGGAGCTTCGATCTGCCTGACCCTCCAGCAGTCCTTTGCTAGATGCCCTGGGCGTCCACGCGTCCAACAAGTCTCTGTTGACCCTTTGCCCTTTCCTTTCTCTTTCCCACCTTTTCCTTTTCCTTCACTCTTAGGTCCAGCCACGGCCTTTCCCCCCTTTTCCCTTGGACTTGCCCTTCTCCTCTTTGCCCTTGCCCTTGGTGCCCTTCAGGTCTTTGGTCTTCCCTTTTCCTTTATCTTTTCCCTTCAACCGATCCACCTCCATGGGGGCAGGTCCATTGATGTCGTTCAAATTGCACTGCATTGGGCTCGTACTCGAAAAAACTCAGTGCGGCCGACTCGTTCCACTTCGTGTTTGCCGTGTCATAGGCCAGCACTGCCTCTCTTATCTTGCCATAGGAGCTGCCCTCGTTCAACGTCATGTTGAGGTGGACCTTGAGGGGGCCTGAAATAGCCTTCAGAAGAACTGCAGCCCTCATATCCGGTGGTAGCTTTCCTCCCAATCGTTCATACTGTGTGAAGTGCTAGCTCGGATAGGCCATGATGCCTCGCAACAAGTTCATTGTTCGATTTCGAGCTTGGGGTTGGCAAATGAGTATCAACGCTTCAAATCCATTGTAATGGGGCACGTTCTTGATCAATCCGACCAATCGTCCATGAATCAAGCTCCCAAGCAAGCTATACAGGAAGCGTGCCCTCTCCTGCTCCTTCTCCGTGAGGAATGACCATTCGATCTCCTCCCCACTCTTCTCCTCAATCTTCTCCAACTCGTCCTGGTAGGCGCTGTCCACCACCACCAAATACTGTTTCATACTCCAAAACCAGTCCCTCCACTGAAGAATCTCCTGTTCCCTGTCAGTGGGCTGGAAAATGCCAGGTCTTGGAATCAAACGGGCTAGATCTTTCTTCAACAGGCCACTTGGTTCTCCGGTTGGAGCTCCTGTCCCAGACCCTGTCGACGTAGCTGTCTGAACTGCCTGAGTTGCTGCTTGGGCTGTTGCAATCAAGGCCTGTGTCAAATCTTCGAAACCTGTAGGTCCAGACCCGTCCATTTCAGCCTGGATGCAAAGGCTCCAACCTCTCCCCTCTCTGATTCCGGGACGGCCTCGGGCACAAGGATGTGGTTCCACTTCCTGGACCTCAGAAACTTCCTTCTTTAGCTGGATGTAGGTAGTCCAAGGTGTTCAACTCGCTCCGTGACCACGTAATCTCAAGCAATGAATGCGAGAACGTGCAACACTAGTTTATGGTGGCACGACACGAGCGAGGAACGGGGGCGCGGAGTGGGGATTGGGTCCGGTCCCCGATCAGAGCTCTGGAGCTCAGGACAAACCTTAGGAGTGTCCCTCACAGCTCCGCTACCATGCGTGAGCTCTTTGAACCGCTCAAAAGGGTCTTCGGTTTGTATGCACGTTTTGTGCGTGTCATCCATGAAGTTGGAATGCTGTTTCTTCGCAATATTATATATGTATTTTTACAGATGGCCAATGTATCAATGTGTTATGCAATCCATTCGGTGCACATTGCCTTGCCAGGCTTGTGCTGCAAAATGTCAAGCTAAACTTGATATTTTCCATGTTACCACAATTCGACCTGCCAGCAACTAAGCATTTGAGTTGTACGACACACTTTTCGGTCCTCAAGTGTGAATGCATGCCTCATAAACACATGTGTATGCCTCATCTTGGCTTGACTCGGGCTGTGGTCTAAATCCAAGTGCAACAGGGCGCTCATGAACTTGCTCTCTTCGAAGGAGGTCATGTGGATTTGCCTCCCACTTTCGGGCTGAACATAAAGCCCTATAAAGCTACAGGCGAGCTTAGGGCTTGCTACCTTTGGCATGTGGACAGCTCCAACAGCCAACGGGTTCTTACTGGTAAGCTGCATGCAGTATGCTCTTCAGCTCAAGTTCAGACTGTAGTAGCTGAAAGAGGGTCCCAATCACACTTGAGCCAGTGATGACTTTCTAAGGCCTTTTCAAGATTGGGTTAAAGGGTCACTGGTATGGCTTTAACGAGAACTGCTGACCGCTTGTCAAGACATTTATTGCGATGTTTGCAACACACGCAACCAAATGTTGGTCCTTCAAGCAAAAATAAAAATAAAAACACCCAGTTGGTGGATCCTTCATTATAAAGAAATGAAGTTGCTCGCTGTGACAAGAAAAGATTACCCGTATGCGAGCACGAGTGTTCCATGGCTGCAAAAACCCGAACACATAATTCCTCGTCCCCCACGTGCCTTCCATCGTACTTGCGGTGCCCCATGGCACGCATGATCTTTGTGGCATCATCCGTAGTGCTGCATTGTAAGAAGACATCACCAGGCTTCAAGGTGGCATTGCCCTCTGCGGCAGCACGGTTAGTTCTTCCAAACAGCGCTGTGGGGCTTATTGGTATCAGGGGCCTTTACTGGGCTCCAGTTCTGGTTGGATGCCGTCGCAGTGTATGCATCAGTGACCTCAAAGCCAAGATGATTGTATTTCTGATAAAGTGGGACTTCTGCAGGTTGGGGTTCAGGACTCTGCCCGAATCGGACCAAGGCGTCTACCTCCATCAGGGTGTCATTTCACATCAGTTCTCTCTTCAGGTCAATTGAGTGGTACCTCGGCGGTCAAGAACCCCCGCCCGCCAAACACGGCTGCAACGCGGGCTGCCTGTGCATGATGGGGCTTCACAATCGCGACACTGACAAGTTTTCCATGGGCTCCACAGCCCTCGGCCATGTCCTGGCGAGATATGTTGCGGGGGGAGGGTAGTACAGGTTAGATGTAGTGGAACATTTTGAAAGACAAGTACGAACTTCCTTCTCTTTCAATTGCCAAATCTTACTCGTATATTATATACGTCAGCGTAGCCACAGGATCATGACTGAATCAGTTCCAGTCAAATGTCATTTTTCGGCAAAGCACTCTCATGCTAAAGTAAACTACTGTACTATGCAAGGGCCGTGAGAAGGTAACGTTGTTGCGCTCTCGCACTCTCTCTCTCTCTCTCTCTCTCTTTTATGAGTTTCACCCGACCAAGCTCATCTCCTTTCATGAGTGCCCAATGCACAGTTCTTTTTAAGTAATTTCTTTAGATTTGCGCGACCCTCTCGTCAGGGCTCCCTTCAAAAAGGCTGAAAAATATCTTTGGAGATGGCAAAAATGTTGGTGGCACTTCGACAATCAATGGCCAGGACCAGGAGAGCACACAAAAAGAAATCAGCCAATCACGCTAGTGTCCTCCTTCACATCATTATAATCATCGTCTGTTGTCTTGTCATCCACCTGCACAGAGATGTCAGCCAAACAACCAACTCGCTTCCACAAGAACATGAAAGGGTGACGATAATGCCGCGAACTCAAGAGGACTGTATCTTGAAACATGTCATCTCTCCATCATGCTATTGACTATATGTCGTGGTGTTTGCCAGCTTGGCTCATCAGCTCATCAGTGATTCATTTCAAAGCAACCTGTCTGAAATTGGTGGCAAACTCACTGGTTAAAACTCAGCGACTCTTGCACCAAAGCCTTGCATTACGAGAAACGAACATGACGGGCTGTTCAGAAAACAACTTGTTCACGTTCTTTGAAACCGATCGAGGCCCGAGTCCACTTCCGACAGAATCTGCCTTTAGGATCTCATCAATGCGGATCACTGGGCTGGTCGCACTGACCTAGGAAAATATAACACGGTCTACCCTTGGGACTACTAATATGGAAGTGTGTTTGTAGAGGAAAATGGTCTTCACAGTCGCAATTTCCGGTTATGTTTTTTGACCGCTCACACACTCTGAGGTGGCTTGCTCGGCCAAAATGACCCTTTAATCTGTAGCACTCAACATTGACATTCCAAGTGCAAGAAAACACTTGGAAAGATCTTTAGTACGTTTGTGACTTCTGAACCTGCCTGGGTGATTTTTGAGCAGTGTAATGGAAACAGCACACTTGAGAATGGTTGCTCCTTGCTTTTCAATAAGAAAACTTTAATTATGCATAGCAGGTGTTGATAGGTTTTGCACCTTTGCTGCCACAAGTGGTAACGCTTGGGTGCACAATGCAACCACCCTGCCTGTGCGGAGGGTAAGGCCAACATGCCTCCCTGGCCAGGCATCTGCATGCCGACTGGAACACCACCGATCATGCCTGACACGCCAAGGCCGCCAAGCTTGTTGGCAAACACTTCTGAATTAACATGATTTTCTGGCACGCAGACTGCCTTTGCATAAATTGTGAAGATCTGTCTATTTTGGATATGTGCTTTCCATGCTCGCTCAAAAGATTAAAAGATTGGAGCAAAGTGTGTGTGTGTGTGAAACCCTTCGAGTCACAGGGAAGATGTTTACAGCAGGGGCACACGGCATCCATAACCCGTGTGCAACGAAGCTACGGTCATGGATGGGAAGGGAAGGCTGATCACCTTCCTGTACCTGCAGTTTGTTAATGTTTTAGCCGTTCTCCAATCGTAGGGTTGCTGTGGTCCCCTGGTTTGCTTGGTGGTGGTTCATATACTTGAAGCTATCTTCTTCTAACTCATTGAGTGTCTAGAATGAACTAAGTATAAGTAAAGCTCAAGCTGTCTTACGCATTGTTTCGGCAGTAAGTGTCGTGGTTTTAGTTCACCTGGTTTACTCAGGCGAAACTTTCACTTTGTATTTGGAGACGTGGCAGTGGAGATTTGGAAACATGGAACCCTTGGTAGAGGGGCTGATAGCTACTTGAATGCCATGTTGGTTGGGCTCCTTTGCAGTGCCTGTGGCCACCCAGGCCAATTGAAATACCTGCGTCCCTGGGGCAGCCTTTGGATGCATTGATCGTACGTACACTTAATCCCTGTGTGTGTGCACGTGTTGGTTTTTTGTATGGGCATTTTTTTGACAGGCTAACAGACTGTTTTACCTGCAGACCGCATCTAACAAAGCTAGCAATCTAGTGGGATACTAAAGTTGGCCACTCCAGTGTATCTGCATCCACATGTATCCACATGTCGTTTCAAGGTGAAGGTCAGTAATTATACATGTTGGGTGGAGGTAGGTCACAAATATGCATTCGAGCGCTCCACTATTTGACCTTGGATCGTCTTTAGTTTGGTTTTCTGCGCTTGAACACTTTTCAGTTGCTCCACCAGAAATACTTGTTCCTGTGGGTTACCCAGGTCGCTTGGTTGCCTAGATTGCGTAGGTTGCAGTTTGTCCCATGTCTCTCGGCACCTAGAGGGCTGACTGCGTCATTCGGCCGCTTGATGGACACCGGCACTCCAAGCACCAACATGCCGTCCAGCTGCAAAGCCTTGTTCTTTTGCAACGATGTTTTTCTGTTGAAGAACTGTTCCTAATAGCGAACATTATTCCTAGTAGTACGGCCAGGAGCCCCTAGTAGCGTCCTTGCTCCTAGTAGCGATGCCAAGAGCCCCTAGTAGGGTCCTCAAGCCGGCACGGCTTCGGTCAAACGAGTTGCTTTCTTTACGTAGGCTCGCCCGAAATAAGGCTCAAACCCTCTCCGTCTCCTCCTGTGATGCAATCTCACAAAAGCCGTAGTTGGCACCTCAAAGCTGAACGATATGGATCACACCAAGTTCCAGTATGAAGCTATGGGGCGGACAAACCAGAAAAGAAAAAACATCTATATGTAGTATTATGAACAGCTGTTCAATGTTCATGTACTCTTGTTCTTTCGAGATGGTATATAATTGGTCCCGGCCGATTGCTCGTTCACCGAGTTGGTCGCTAGGTGTATCTGTTTGAGTAGCACGTTACCACAGGCTGTCTTCATGTTTTGTGTGTCTTGACGCCATGAGCTGAGGTGCACACCCTTGTCACGCGCGAACCACACATGCAGCACTGGGTTCTGATTCCTGAGATGGAAGGACTGTGCACTCTGCAGTGAACGACCCAAGTGACCGTGATGATGCAATAGCTTCTCCAAGGCCTAATGGCCAATCATAAGTCTTGTCTGATCCAGGTGAAATGGGGGAACTTTTTTGCGCATAGCATGCCTCCGGCCAACGAAGACTCTTACACTACAACATTTAAAAAGAATAGGGGACGTCGGATTGCAATAGGGGACGTCGGATTGCACACAACTTCTAGCAATGACTTTGCATTGCCTACCCACAGTAAATTGGTGAAGAAACTTTCTGAACCGACTGTGTCACAATGTCAAGGCGGCACTTCAAACAATCACCAATGAATGAGGATAGACTCAGGACAGAGAGCAAGAAACTGTTTCTCAGCACCATGCTGATCCATCTACAGTAACAAGCTGCCAATACTGGAAACCAAATCTAAATGTGTGGGCCTTGAGTGGTCATGTCAAGTTCGAGTCGTTGGTACTATCTGACAAGTATCCTATCCACTCAACTCACTGCTGTGATTTTTCTCTGTTTCAGAGTCAGACATGAAAGCTTTGCCTGCCAAGTTTCGGATCGTTGCACATACTTCGATCACGCATCGTCTCGTAAAGCTGCTTGGAGAAGGAATCCTTAAAGCTGCTGGGTCGACTCACCTCTCTCCAGCCAGAAGCAAAACACATTCTGACCAAGGCCTTGCTTGAAAACGCCTGCGCGTCCACAATGGGACTTCTTAATCAGCCAAAGTCAAAATGACTGTTTGCAGCAGGACAAGGTCCTTGTCCAAATACTGATTTTGCTCCCATGGTCCGATGGTGACTTTGAGAAGGAAAAACTAAAACAGTATACAGCTTTCAGCTGTCTTGAGCAAAAGAAGGAAGAACGAAAAGTGCAGATAGTCGAGGTGTGTCGAACGTGTCCTTTGTTCAAGGCTTTCTTGCGCCACCTGGCACCCCGGCCTCCGTGACACCAAGGTGATATGGCAGGTTTCCCAGATAAAGACGCCTGGCTTTGAGAGCAGCTTCCGAGAGTATCCTCTGTCACTGAGACTTGCCAGGTGAGTTTTGGAGCCTTGGGCCCAACTCGTTGACCAGAACCGGAAATGCTTGAAGGGTTCATCAAGGCAATGCTCTCACAGCACCAAATCGTGCAAAAAAACAGGTGCCTTCCTGTGATCTAAAGTTAAGCATGCCAGTGGGAGGCTCAATTTCATTCCCCATCATTGAGGCCTGTTCTTCCGGGAGGCGTTGATGTCATTGGTGATTCCTGTCAATGTACTGCAGTTGCGGCGTTCCTGTCTGTCTGAACTGTGCTTTAAACTTAGGTCCATGACAAATCATACTAGGGCAGTTTCCCAGCCACACAGTGCTAGCTCCTGCCAAAAGCTCATTCAAGCAATTTGGAAGACTTGACCTGTTGATAGGAGCCACGCAAATCTATCAAACATCAAATCCAGTTGATCTAAGAGATTGTTGAAACCTTCCAAACCACTGTGCAAAACGCAACTCCAGGTCCAGCTGTTCTGAGAAACAGAATGGCTTCAAAAACAAAAAAAAAGAATCACAGCCCTCTCCACATTTCTTGACAAAGGGCATAAGCAGTCACACGGCTGAAAGACTTGGGAACGGCCCCAGCCTGTGTCGGCCCTAGGTACCCATTGGAAGCCGTCCCAAAACATACTCTGACCGCCTGGCAAACGGATGCCCCCTGCATCACCCAGAGAGAGAGAGAGGGTTGGGCAGAAGCTGGCAACAAATCAAAGGGTTTGGGTGCAGCACTGGATGGCACAGGGCTACCAATAGCGTCCTTGCTCCTAGTAGTAAGGCCAGGAGCCCCTAGTAGCGTTCTTGCTCTTAGTAGTAAGGCCAGGAGCCCCCAGTAGCTTCTTGTTACTAGTAGCGATGCCAGGAGCCCCTAGTAGCGTCCTTGCTCCTAGTATTGTCACATCACAAGCAACTACATTTGAACATATGCTGACATACCGTCAAAGTGCAATGGACCAGCTTTGTTGGCTGCAGCGCGCAGAAGCGGGTTGAAATCAATGTGGCAAGCAACGCCGACATCCAGGCCTACACCACCTTCACCTGCCTTTCTGTTCTTGTTTACAACCTGACAGGAAGCCATGATGAGCTTTGGCATGGACATAGATAAAAGTACTTCGACTGACAACTTGTTACACTTTAAAAGACACTGCTTTGGAGAAGACCACAAAACAGCTCCCAAATAAAAACCTACATGACTGTTACAATGTCCTCTTGATTTCTACAAAGGCTTGGGTTCACTTCGAACATGTATGTCCTGTGCATTTCGCTAAAATGTGTTTTGGACGACGTGTCTGCCAGTCCAAATGAGAGCAAGAAGCCTATGCAAAACAGCTGAGAGCATAAATTTGAACCCGACATCCAGGACAATTGAAGACCGTTTCAATGTCCAAAAAAGGGAATCGAACACTCATAACTTATAACTAATTGAAACTGATATACACACCCATACATATATACATACATATGTACAGTACAATGTACAGTGTACATACATGCATGTTATTCTATGAGACTAGCCTGTTGCTGCTGCTTGCGGCGTCGCTTCTCTCGCTCACGGCTCCGCTCCGCGGACTCTGAGGAGGCGCTTCGCCTGTCAACAAAAGTGCGTCTCAAACAAAAAAGAGATGATCTTGAATTAAACTCCCTGATTTGACAAGCAAACTTACGAGATTTCCAAAAACGTCGATCAAGCAACAGGTTGGATGGTTGAATTCTACAGAATGACATTTTGTTGCGGAGTTCACACCGTGTCATCGCAAACCTTAAAGGGGAAGCCTCCAGTAGACGCTGCCAAAAAGAAGGTTGAATGAAAAAGAAGGTGTAGGCTGTATCTCTCAAATAGGGCAAGGCAGCACATGTTGGCTTTGGCCGTCCAGGCATGAGCACTTCCGGTCAAAATCAGCATATAATATATACTCATTCTGTTTCGAAGCCAAAATTTGACAAAATCGAGGGCGTCAAAAATCCAAACTACATCTCGCTGTGTAGAAGGGTGGCAAATTCTTGGCACTGACATGAACTAGCAATCTCAAGCTTTGCTCTTGAGATCGCGGCAACTTGCTCCCAGGCATCTTTTGTGTTGTATCAGATTCTATGATTTTTTTCTTGAGGGCTTCCTAGAAACAACCATGCGATGTTTGTTGCTTGTGAAGAATCGGCCTCTTCTTCTTTTCCTGCAAGGTGCAGAAGCTGAACCGGTTGCCCGCTGTGTGGAGTGGTGGTTGATAGTGCATTCAAGCTCATGTATCAAAC